TATAGACCGGGGTCCCCAAACTTTTTATCTTGTGCCCCCCTTACCCCTACCCACCACCACCACAGCCCCCTCAAGCCACATCTGGGAGCAGGGCCTTGGTGAGGGCCAGGGTTGTGGCCGGTGGCAAAGGCCAGAGCAGGAGCCAGAACCAGGAGCACAGCTGGGACAGAGCTGGGGCTCCCTCCCCACCCCCTGTGAGGGTGGGCCTGGGCCCCACCATGTCCCCCAAACATTCCTCTGTTCCCTCCCCCAGAGGGCACACCCCACAGTTTGGGGACCTCTGCTATAGACCTTAACCTTATAACAGCTAAAGGTGTTCTCACTCAAGTGAATGGGGCCTATGCTTTTGGAGCAGGAGAACTTGGGTGAAGTTCTGCTGTGACGTTCTGAATGGCCACAATGTCCAGTACCCACGAATTCTTGGTGGTTAAGAATTTGTTACACTATAGTTATTGTACAATCTGCAATCATATTTTATTTTTCCCTTCAACTACACCAAATTTTGATGTGCTTTATTGATTGGCCAATGATATTTCATGGTGAATTTTATAGCAGGGGGAGGGAAGGCTCTGAGTGAATTTTTAGTGCTCAGGAAAGGTGCTGGGGTGACAGCCCTGAACCCCTCTGCTCATCCACACAACAGAAAGGTGTAGCATGGGAGTGGTAGCTATGCAGGAGGTGAGATGGTATTTCTTTCAGAAAGGCACCATGGAGAATGATGTGCCAGTGATGGAAGCCATGTAGACACCTGTCCGCTAGGATTTGGCCTGAGATTGCCAATTCATTTCATATAGGCTACCAAATAGCAATACATAGCTACTATTGATTTGGTCTGTAATTGAACTGACAACCCTCAGATAACTAGATGTGTATTATTTCATTACTTATACCCTGAGCCATCCAGTTCCAACTCCCAGCCCTCTCTAGAAATGATGAAACTATCTTTCTTCATAAAAGAAGTACAAAACAATCCCCCACCCCACCCCAATAAGCAATACCAGCACATTTGCTCCCTGGCTAAAGCTACAGCTACCAGATGTTTCTGAAAAGCCATTCTTCATGGTTTGAAAATAAAGGTTTATAATAGAAACATGAACTGAATGGAAATAGTCAAAAAATAGGGGATAAAGTTGAGAAAATTGTGTCTTTTTAATAGAAAACCTTCAAAAACACAAACACCCAAAACCTTTTGACCAGTTCTAACAGATGCTGGAAGGAGGCCTTTCACAAATAAAATCCTGTGGAACCAATTATCCTTTCAGTTGTGCACTGACTGCCCCCATTGTGTATAGGAGAAGTCTAGTTTCTTCTGGTCTTTCCTCTCATTACACTCCACTTGTTTCCTTTTCTGAAAAGAGAGCTCCTAGTCTTCCCTGACTCTAGGCATGATCCTTATCAAGTCTATAGTGTCATGCTAGACCTGCTAAGTAACAAACTTCCCTGCTGCCTGCCATGTCTCAGGGACAATTAAGGGATAACGTCGATAGGTTCTGAAGGATGCCTTGTTTGGCCTTTCTTATCCTCAGTGATGACGACCACTAAGATTTTAATAGGAGGAGGATTGTTGGGGGGTGGGGGAGGTGGGGAACTGACCTTAAAGCAATCTAGCAGTTTCTTCAGTCTATGGAGGATGATTGATTAAACAAGCCATTATTTGTATGGCCTAGTAGTCCAAGCCATGGATCAGGACCTCATTGTGCTAGGTTCTGTACAAACTGAACAAAAAGACAGTCCCTGTCCTAAAGAGCTTATGCAGCGATAGGCCTGAATCCAAACAGCTCTAAACTGTAGGAAAGGTCAGGACTGGATCCCAACTTTGTAACTCAGGTCCATCTTAAGTGATAAACACCTCGGAAGAGAACCAAAGCCTCTCTACATGCCATATTCAGGGTGCATGAGACTGTGTCCTCTTGTGTGCTGTGCCAACATATCACTAAGCAGTAGGGCTCAGAATAGTAGTCATTGCTGATACAGTAGAATGGTGTAGGAATGCTATGATTTGTGTGTCATGCCTTTTAGCACTCTAGCTCTAATGAAAACTATTAGTATTAAACTTAAATTATAATCACTAATGTTACCCTCTCACATAACTGCATAACCTTACCATCCTCACTTCCATCCTACCCCTTCACACCTTGCTCTTTATTTAGATTATAGGCTTTTCTAGGCATGGAATCTTTGTTCTGTGAAGTACCATCAAAATATATAGTGTATGAGTTTATATACTAAAATAAACACATTGTATGCATGTACATATGTAATAATAGAACTCAAAGCTTGTCTAATGAATATTCTATTGGTAAGAGCACAAAACCCGGAGTCAGGATTCTTGGGTTCTATTTCCAACTCTGCTACTCACTTGCTATATGAGCTTGGTCAGGTCAATTAACGGTGTCTGGTCTATACTACAATATATCCCTATATCAGTATAACTAGGTCACTCGGGAGTGTGACAAACCCACACCCTGAGGCTACGTCCTCACTACGGGGGGTGTGTGTCGATTTAAGATGCTCAAATTCAGCTATGCAAATAGCGTAGCTGAATTAGATGTATCCGAGCCGACTTACCCCGCTGTGAGGACGGCGGCAAATCGACCTCCGCGGCTCCCCCGTCGACAGCGCTTACTCCTACCTGCGCTGGTGGAGTACAAGCGTCGATTCGGGGATCGATTGTCGTGTCTCATAATTCGATCAGAGAGATCGATTTCTACCCGCCGATTCAGGCGGGTAGTGAAGATGTAGCCTAAGTGATGTAGTTATACTGACTTAACACCCACATGTGGACAGCGCTATGTCAGTGGGGGAAGCTTCTCCCGCCAACATAACTACCACCTTACAGGGAGGTGGATTAACTACACTGATAGGAGAGCTCTCACTGTTTGTGATCTCACAGTGGTCATGTGAAACTCTGTACATTAATTTGTGCAACACTTTGAGCTCTTTGGTTCAAAGATACAGTATATAAATCAGGACAGATTAATTATATGTCCTCATTGAGTTCAATGGGGCTGCACAGGTGTAAGCCTAGTAAGATTTGGCCTGGTATCCTAACTCTTTTCTACAATATACTTGAATTAAATCTTCTAATATTTTAACTGGTGAATTTAATTGGTTAACACTTATAAAGTGCTATTTAAAGTGAAAGTTTGTAGCATTATGCAGATAACAAGCAGCACTGCATAAGTGCAGAGTATTGTTACTAATAGAACATCTGAAAGGTCTATAGCAATTGGCTTTAATTGCCCCCAAAGAAAACAAGAGGAGGGTTATTTTAGTCAGCGTGAGTTGTAGTTCTCCCTTGCAGCAGCTGAAAGAATATAAAATGTTTAGGAGATTTTAGAGTAAGGATTAAATATTAAAAAAAAAATCTTCAAAGCACACTTGGAGTCTGCATTAATAAGAACTTCCACTAGGATTTGGAATGTTAGGGCTGTTTTGTGAACTCAAATAATTTAACAAAAAGTACTTGAAGTCTGAGTTCAAATACAGATCAGGAAAGAAACATGGACAAATTCTACTCTCAGCAGCCCCATGGAAATCAGTGGGATTAAGAATAGAATTTAGCTCCATGGGCAGATGTGGCCATAGTTGGTGGAAACATGTGTGACTCAGCTGATTTCAGCAGAGTTAGATCTGCTTACACCAACTTACAACAAGACTGACTGGCTCTTTGGCTCCACAAGTCCTAACTTTGAACCCCAATCCCAAACCAGGGCAGTCAATGGTGAAACTCCTGTTCATGTCAATTGGAGCAGGATCAAACTTTCTTATTCAAACATGTAAAAAGAGTGTAAGAGCTTCATTTCACTGGGCCAGGACTTTTTTTTTTCCCCCTCCTCTCTCTCTCCCTCTCCCTCCATGGCCTCATTTCTCCCCTCCTCACTCCTGCAGGTGCAACATTGGTATGTGGCTCTACTGAGGTTTGGGGACAGGCAGCATGATCTTGCTATGCCTCCAGACTCTGTGGAGGGTACTTCCTGATGTTAGCAATCTGTCTATAAAGCACTGTGTAAGATACATCAGGCCTGGGAAAGGTCTCCCCCATGGATCATTTGCAGAATCTGCTTAACAATGATTACAACTTGAGGCTGTGCTATCGTTCAAGTGAAGCCCTGCTATGCTGCACACCCGCCCAACAGCAGAGGCTCCAAAGGCAATGGCACGTGGGAGAAGTGATGTGGCCCACGGAATGTACATTTATAACAATTTCATTGTGTGTAATCAAATAGTCTAGAAGCTCAAAGATGATGGAAGATGAAGTTAGAAAAATTCCAACTGGAAAAAAGATGCACATTTTTAAGGTTGACTATTGGGATAGCTTCCCAAGGGAAGTGGTAAATTCACCACCACTTGGAGTCTTTAATTGAGACTGGATGGCTTTCTGAAAGATAGTTCAACCACAAGTTAGTGGGCTTGATGCAGTAATCACTGAGTGAAGTTTATGTCTCATGTTATGTTGTTCAAGTGACGTCACCACAATGGCCCCTTTACCCTTAAGATTATCAATCTATATTGACAGTGGTAAGTGCATCAGTTGATTCAGGGTCAATGCTGAGAGGGAAGTTGTTGCACATTTAAAAACATTTGAAAGACCTACAATAATTAATATGCACCAAACCTCATCTGAACAGTCATTTCTTTACATGTGCTGGATTGTTTATACTATAGTGAATGTTTAGAAAATGCCACGGAGACAGGACAGAGGAGATGCTGGTTTTTCTGAAAACAGAATGAAAACACCCAAGGAATTTAGGATGAATTATATCAGCATGGATGCTACTTCTAACTTCAATAAAGTGAATATTTAAAAACTAAGTCTCCCTAAATAATCAAAAGAATTTGAAACATTGTCAAACAGTAGCAAGATGCTCAATCCCAGTCCATTGAAGATTCTCAACATGGATATTTTTATTCTGCTGAGAATGATCTGCAGTCAAGCGTCCTTGGTGGAAGCTTATGTCAAACAGATATGCAGTGTGTTTTTAATCTCTTGTGTTTAGGTATCTCTTGTCGTCAATGTTGCAAGTGAGTGCGGATTTACAGATAGCCACTACAAAGCTCTACAACAGTTACAGAGAGACCTTGGCTCACATCATTTTAATGTGCTAGCATTCCCATGTAATCAATTTGGGCAGCAAGAGCCAGACAGTAACAAAGAAATTGAGAGCTTTGCCCGAAAGACTTATGGTGCCTCCTTTCCTATGTTCAGCAAAATTGCAGTCACAGGTGCTGGTGCTAATGCTGCCTTCAAATATTTAATTGGTAAGTAATATCTAGAGCAGCTATATCTAAGGAGGTAAGTTGCTGGCATTGAATTAATCTGATCTGGCAAGACTTTTATAAGGATTATTTATAGTGTTCATGATAGCAAATGTGCCTGATACATGTTTATTAAAATAACCCTATGTGAAAGAATATCTAATGCCTATCCAAATACAGATTCAGAATGTCTAGAAATTCAAATTCGGTGTACATGGGAGTGTAAAACATTCCCTCTGTACCTGATCACAGGGTCATGAACATGGGCAGCTGTGCCTGGTTTTCTCCACTTAGCAACCATTTCTCCAGAGAATCCATGTCATGAAACATCTGGGGCTGCCACAGGTCAGATTTTATGACATGCATTAGCAGATCTGTAGGGTGAGAGGAGGCAAAATGTCCTCAGTATCCATCTGAACCCCTCACTTTCACAAGCTTTGCATTCACTCACAAAACAGTGCAACCAGGTGCTGATAGTGATTTCCTGGAAGAAATTTCTTCCATGTTCCTCACAAGGAAAATGGAACAACCAAACTGTAGAACCCATCCAGCTATTTGTACAAGAGCTAATGCATGCTAGGATAGGAGTCCTTGGGAGTTTTTGTTGGTTCCTGGCAGACAGCTAAGAAGCTTTCAATAAAGCAGGTTCTTCTTATCCAAGCACTATATTTTTCTGCATTGGTTGAATGCGCCAAATACCATTCAAATACTGAACTGAAATCAGACTCTTCAGCCAACATTCAGGGAATTTTTTAGGAAGTGAGACAAATCTAATCAAACCCACCACCACATGACCGCACATTGAGTCTCACCTCCTCTACCCAGGAACAGTGTTCCTCCCACACTCTCCCATGGATTTACAGCAGAGTTCTTTGTACTACTTTTGGCTGCCACATGCAGTGTTCCAGAGCTGATATTCCTGCAGATCATAGAATATCAAGGTTGGAAGGGACCTCAGGAGGTCATCTAGTCCAACCCCTCAAAGCAGGACCAATCCCCAGACAGATTTTTATCCCAGATCCTAAGTAGCCCCCTCAAATCCCATCCTTCCCCAATGCTCCACATGCAGCATGAGGCTGTTAGAGGTGGTACAGTCACCACTGTAATGTGAAAGGACAGTCACCAGCATAAGCCTGGCAGTGTACTGTAACAGGAAACACTCACCTCTCATTAGTGCCTCCTGTTGGTTGTGTATGAACCTGCACTTTCTCTCTGCTCCCTTTTCAGCTGTTCATCTCACCAGGTGGGTCTTTACTGGTCCAGCTCTCTGGCCAAATCACACAGTCAATGTGCATGAACAAATCCCTTCCAGGGTAAGAGGTCCAAACAGGGCCTGTCCCTGTGCCCTTGTTAAAATCTTTAGCCATGTCTCTATGCTCAGTCCTCAGCCCCTTCTGGATTGGCTTTAAGACCGTGCCTGTCCTGGTCTAGAGCAGTGCCTCCAGGGCTTTTTCCCTGGAGACTCTTTGCCATAAGAGTTCTTATTGCCCCAGCTGGGTCACTCCTTCAAGTTCAGCTCCCTTCCAGGGGACAGGGAGTAACAAAGTTCAACAAATGGTTGGCCCTCTTCAGGGTCTTCAGCCCCATCCTTGAGTCCTTTAAGTTCCATCCCTGGGCTTGGGCTACTAAACAAAACATGCCCCCTTCTCAGGGTATTGGCCACTTTGCCAGTGGCAGAATCCAGGCCTGTCCACTATCTAGGTCCCAACCCAGGGACCCTACAAATAGCAGCTACACACTGCTTCCTTTAATAGTTGCTGCTGCTATTCTCTAGGCTGCTTCACACATAGCCCCTTCCTCTTCACCTTTACCTCAGGGCTGAAGTTTTCTACACTTCTCCTGCCTCACCAAATGCCATGTTCACCAGAACCCATCTTCTGTATCTCTCTTGAGCTCTAGTAAGGCACACCCTCCCTTATTCCTCTGGTCCCAGTTAGGGACAGCACTGCACACAGCCCCTGCAGCTCCTTTTATCTGAGCCTGCTGTGTTCTGATTGGCTGCTTCCCTGCAGCCTTTCTAGGCAGACCTGGAGGTCTCACCTTCGCTGCTCCTTTTCTGGGGCAGGGTGTGGAAGGACCATGAGGCCTCCAGCAGGGGGCTCAGAGGGCCTGGTACACCCTGTCACATGCACCTTGGCAATTTGTCTGATTCCACGTGGGGGTTTGGCCCAGAAGTGGCAAGAGATGTAACCTTGTCCCAGATGAAGCGTGTATAGCTCTGGACCTGCACGTTCTGTGCTCCTATCTTATGACCTCACATTTATGGGCAGAAACTCCTGCCCTTATTCTAAAATGCATTCCTGAACTTTTCCATTTAATATAATAAAATCATAGAGGTTATTCAGAGAATAACCCAACCTCTAACTAATGAGGGTTAGGAAGAAACTTCTCCTAGGGGGTAGGTTATTCCATTATTTCCTACTGCGGAGTTTCTTGAAACATTCCTCTGAAGCATCTGGTAATGGCTACTATCAGAGATAGCCTACTGGACTAGATAAGCCATTAGTCTGCTCTAATATGGCTGTTCCTAAGTCCATCTCCCTGCCAGTGCATGATTGTTCCAAATAGTATATTTTCTGGTACTTTCTCCTGTCTATATGCCTTAAGTGATTGAGCTTCTACTAGTTCCCATGGTAGAGTATACCACAGTCTAATATATCTTCCTGTCAGGAAATCCCTCCTGATATTCAATCTAATGTTTTCCCCTTGATTTTATGTACTTTCTTTCCTTAAGATGCTAATCAACACATCATCATACTCAAATATGAGGAACTGGTTCATGTGGTTTTCTCTTCTGTTTGTCTTTTCTTTTCCTTCACAGAATCCACAGGAGAAGAACCAACCTGGAACTTCTGGAAGTACCTGGTAGCCCCTAATGGGAAAGTAGTAAAGGCTTGGGACTCAACTGTCACTGTTGAAGAAATAAAACCTTACATCACTGAACTTTTGAGGAAAATCATCCTGAACCAGAAGGATGAACTGTGACTTTCAAAAGTCCCATCATGTCTATTATACCTTGATTGATAATTAGGACTGCAATTTGACTGTTCACATTCCAAAAGAGGAAATAGAGGGACAGGAAATCATTATGACTAATTGAAGTTTTCCCCATCATTCTAAGAATACAGGAAACAATAACTGAATGTGGTAAAAGGTGATTTAACTTAGGCTTGTGCTATCGTTCTAAAGTGATTGAATTGAATTTGTGCCTTCTTGGAAAGAAAATAATTTGTTTATCTTACTATCTCAAATCATCAATTGTTGATGATATTATGAAGAGCCAGTTAGGATTTTTTTGGCAGCCAGGCTCAGTTCAGCTAGAATTTCCTTAGAGAGACCTTACTAGCAACTGCAATTCATTTGTCAAGATTTTGACCATGAATTTCATTTAAAAATGCAACCCAAAGTAGAAGAGTGCACTTGGCGTAGTGTGGACACAGTTATAAGGGGCAGGCAAAAATAGGTTTCCTCAAAGCAGACACACTTATAATGATATGTGTCTGCTTAGTTATAAAGGACAGACACTTCACTTTCTCTCTATTTGTGTTATGAGTAACTGGGGGAGAAGGGCATGGGGAGGTCTCTATAGAACTGAAATAAAAGACAAAATTTCCTACAAAAAGATTCTCCATAAGTTGTGTGAACTGTCTTTAAATTCTTTGTTTAAAAAAAGGTTGCTGAGTGACATTAGTACAGTCTGTGTAATTAATTTGAACATCTATAGGGCCAGATTCTCCTCTGGGTAAATCAATGTAGCACCATTAAAATCAATGAGTTAAGCTGATTTATCCCAGCTGAGAATCTACCCCTATTGTTAGGTTTCTTTTTTCAAAAAGTTTTTGTATTGTGCTTCATATTTTGACGTTTTGGGAGAAAGAACAATACTCATTTTGAGTCAGAGTTGAGGTGGTTGTGGTTGAGTGAAGATGGTTTTGAAATCTGCTTGCACCATATGAATAATGGGTTTATTGTGTGGGCAATATAAGATTAATTATGTCTTTGATTATTCACTTTTAAGTGCTTCGTTTTGATAAATGATGTGATAGCCAAGTCCTCTATCACCCAGCAACTTTAATTATTTTTTAAATGTAGCCAAATGAAAGACAGCATTTTTAAACTTTTAAATAAATGGGATTGGACAGATTATTAAATTAAAGGAATGAGTGGTGCTGTCCAAGTTTAATGGCTTCTGCAGAGCCCTGCCTCATTCAAAGCACACCTGACAAAGGCACACACATTTACCATATAGCTAAGTTAGCCAAACATGCTTAGCACAGGCTACCTCCTTCATTCCAAATAGTAGTGAAAACTGCTCAGAGAGTTAGATACTTGTCAGACAAAGGACTAGAATCCACATACTTATGGCACTAATGCTTACTTCACTAGGGCACAGTGGTTCCAAGCCAAGTTACTGAACCTCTCAAAACCGTAGTTACCCGTTCTAAAAATACATGGCTAATAATAATAGTTTGGCCCTGCCTGAGTGCTGGTGTAATTTAGAGCAGCCTTGGGGGTTACTCTAATGTTTGATCTGCTTCCCCAGGTCCCCTATGGAACCTGGAAAGCAGAGAATAGCCATATAAATATAGAAACATGTTCTCAATGTACCCGGTTGCATACACAAAATAAATAAATAAATGTACCTGGTACTCTTGGCAAGTGGTTGTGGTAGTGATGTGGGTGGGGGTGGGGGTGGGGGTGGGGAGGATTAGAGATAATCTGTGCCAGCTGGTGAGGCTCTTTATGTAGGGTATATTCTCAGGGGACTGTTTCTGCCAAAGCAGCATAAAGGGTCCTTAGTATAACAGAGAATTATATACCAGTATACTACAAGGGGGCTGTAGCATAATAAAAAAAAATGAGATTCCTCAATCACTCAGTTCCTCAGTCAGGAAAATATCACAGTGGGGTCACATTCACCCTAGACCAAAGGGGGGATCATGCAGGAAGGAGAATCATTAAACCAGATCCTGACCTTTCCTTTAACTCTGGAAAGTAGCCTTGGCCAGTTCAGAGCTCTATGGTGAAAATATTCTTAGTCACTGTGATATTTTTTTCTCAGTTTCACTGACAGAATCGTGTCCAGTGATCAAGTAATGTAAATTTCTTACACATTTAACTATTTTTGCTTTTGAAAACTGCCTCTTGTCTAAACCAATGTTAAAATCTATGTTCAGTTTATAATTCAAATCTTGTGGTCTAATGTGATTGCATTGGGCAGATCTAAGGATACAGAGAAACATTAGAAAATGCAAAAACAACAAGGAGTCTGGTGGCACCTTAAAGACTAACAGATTTATTTGGGCATAAGCTTTTGTGGGTAAAAACCTCACCTCTTTAGATGCATCTGAAGCAAGGCGG